TGCGCGGTCGCCAGGTGCCAGGAGATGACGGAGTAGAGTAGAAGAGTAGTAGAGAGCTGGATCAAAGCTGTCAAAGCGTGAGACCAGGCGTAGGGACTTCTACTCGATCCGAAGGTACCTCAACCGCGGGTTGGCTCAGCCGGAATCCTCACCACGTAGAGTTCTCACTTAGTGAGAACGTTAGTCTAACGTAGGAACCCAACATCACAATTAGATCTAATGGATTTGCTACTCAATCGCACTAGTGAGACCACTACATATAGACCAAGTGCTAGTCAAGCGAGATTACAACGTAAGAGCAACTGCTCCCAGTCGTAAACGACGCACGTTGTATTCCTTTGCGCTTGCCTCGCGGCTCCGCGCATTGGCCACGGGAGACGTTGGCTTAAGTGGATCCCATCATACCAACGTTCATAAGCTACGATGACGATCCCAAAAGTAAAAAATGAACTAGTCTAATAGTCGTCATCTATCATCATCAACTACCATAGTCGTCTACATAATTCTTCAAGTCGTCTAAGTCGTTATACCATAGTCCTTGCAGTCGTCTACCAAAAAGCTAGTTGGTGTCGTTCTCGATCATAACGTAGTCACGATAGTAGACACGTTGCTCGGCCTGTCTCAGAGAGTCGAGACGTGCCTCTGCATCCACACTGTCGACGCTCAGTAGCTGAATAGCATGCTCGTACTTGGCAAAGACGTTAGCCATAGACTCCCCTAGGTTCTGGTGCAAGTCGTGAACCACGTTAGTACAGTTGTTGGACTTAGCGTGATCGGACAACGTAGACAGAAACGTACCCTTATAGAGGCCTAGTAGACGTAGATACGTATAGTGAATACTCATAGGTATACGTTGGCACCTACGGGCTCTCAGGTTAGCGTCGTGGGGTAGTGTAGGGACTCCGAGTACGTGAACAGCAGTAGGGAGGTCCCAACAACGTAGGGCCGACAGGAGTCCTTCAACGAGAGACCAACCATACGAGCCAACCTTCTTAGTTTACCACCCTTCATGCCGAGCTCCTTGTAGGTGACCTTCTCAAGGAGAAGATTCTTGAAGTCCTTCAAGTCGTCGTCCAACCCTTGCGCACGTATTACGCAAGCACTGATACGGTCTTCGTAGTTACCATCTTGTAGTAGCTCTGGGTCGATCTCTTCCACGGGCTTGGCATAACGTGCGAGTTCACGTAGTTCTTCTTGTTGTTCAGTGGTAAGGGAACCGTAGTTGGGTAGGTCAATACCGTCACAGTTGAGAGTCATCACCAGAGCACCGACAGTTGAAGAGTTGGTTGTGGCGTTAGCCACGGGAGAAGTAGTAACTTCCTCTACTAGTTTAGCACTAGTGGTTGTTGTTGACGTATTCGTGGCGTTAGCCACGGGAGTAGGGATACATTGGGCGTCCCTGCCGTTGGTGGTTGCAGTTGTTGATTCCGTGGCGTTAGCCACGGGAGAAGTGGTATATTGTGAGCACGGTTCTTCATCGTTGGTCTCGACTATGTTCTCAGCCATCTCGTCATCCGTAATCTTCCTATGGTCAAAAACCACTTCGCTGATAGACATCGCCTTGCAGACGTGGGTACCGTCAATGACTTTGTCGTTGATCTTAGCTCGTGATATCGAGTCGGCATAGTTCAACTCAGAGGGTATGTGCTTGATGATAACGTCTAACTGTCGGCACATCTCTCTAATCTCCTTCAGTCTTCGTCGTTCAACGACAGGTAGCTTCTCGTCCCTACTGGGACGTCGTAACCGATATACCGTGATCTCACTGTCACATAGGAGAACGACTTGTCGAGCTGGTAGATTAGGTACCAAGGGTTCTAGAGGTGACTGGTGAGGACGTAGACAAGTCTTGATGGGTAAGTAGGTTGATGTAGAACGTATCCAAGTGAGGGCGTGGTGTACAGCGACCAGCTCCTTACGTGGAATAGTCCACTTAGTCTGTGAGCTCGGGAAGACTCCTCCACGAGTCATGACCCTAGTAGTAGTATCTTCACCAGTGGTACACCTCACGTCCACACCCCAACACTCACCAGATGCATCTGATGAGACCAGTAAGGGGTAATTCTCCAAGTCAATGAACCTCTCGAAGCCTATTGACGTAGTTATTTCTGTGCACGGCGTTGCCCATACTTTGATCCGATGGACCAAATCATCGTTGAGCTTGTCGTCCCAGTTTTTATGAGCCTGACAGACTTCTCGCCAAAGTAGTCGTCCTTGTATGTCTAGCTCAACGTAGAGGCCAAGAGGGTCGTAGAGAGAAGCCAAGGCTGCACAAGCCTGTAACTTAGTGACTTCACCATCTGGCACGTAGCCGGAGTAAACCGCGTGGAGTTTGTCGACGTCTAACTTGAGCAGGTATCCAAGGACGGACTTCTTGGCACCGTCGTTACCGTCCGCAGTCAACCAGTTGCAGAAGGACATAACGGGGTCATTACCGAAGCCATGTCCAGTGAAGACGTGAGAGCCGAACTCGTAACCAAGTCGTGCTTCCTCTCTAGTTCTCCCACCGTAATAGAGGTCATCAACGTATTTGAGTAGTAACATTCTAGTAGGTATAGAAGGACCTCGTAATATATACTCTACGCCAGTCGCAGAGGGCATTAATAGTGCCTGCTCGATCTGCACGTTAGAGAGTAGTCGTGGTGGTGAACCGGTAACTTCGGCCTTGTGTACCTCACGTTGTACAGACAGAGAAGACGTTAGAAGTCGTTCCATTTCCAGTACCACGTCGTGGCTACTTGCCTCTAGCATACAGGGGGCATTATTACTGCCAAAGGCGATACTCGACCATAGGACAGTATAGTTCCCAATACACGTATAACTGGAATAGCCAACGTCGTATAATGAAGCCTTCATCTGGCAGAATGCCTTGGAGACGTCGGCAGAGATGAAGTAGGGAAAGCTCCTCAGCTGTAGTAGTACTCCTTGTAGGTCGTTCTGGGTCTTACCGCCACGTTTAGTGAACTTGTTCAACGTACGGAAGTCTAGAACGATACGACAAGGCGTCGTAGGATGACTGTCTCTAAAGACCATGTGTGATGGCGTATAATGGTAGGGCTTAATAACGACAGTGCCCTCCAAAGCCGTATCACGTGTCATAACATCCCATGCCGTCTGACATTCGTCAAAGGTTGGGGGCTCGAGAGTACCGTCGACATAGTTGTTCTTGACGATTGTGCAGAATCCTCGAGTAGTATATACTTGTAGTGCTGCCTCAAAAGCATCACGTTGTTCTGGAGAGAGTCGTCTCGTAGAAGCAGTACCACGATGTGCAGCGTTATTGAAGTTGTTAGGTGGACGTTCTTCTCCCAACCAGGGTAACCGTACACATACTCTACCTAGGGGTGTCTTGGCATCCCACATCCAATGACGTAAGAGGACATCCCAAGGAGGTAGATTGTCGTCGAAGTTGTTGTCTACCACATCGTCGTTGTCGTGGTTCTCGTCATGGTGGGGGGTAGCCAAATCCACGTTGGGGGATGTTCTCGTCGATGCAGCAGAAGTATAGTGAACATAGTAGTCGTTCGTCATAGGATCTTTTCCCGATTGGCTACAGTCGGCCTGGCCCACAAACAAGTCGTCTGGGTAAGTCCTCGTCGTAGGGAAGAGGGCCTTGTGTAGATCCGCTTCAGATGGCTCGGTACCAGAGTCTTGAAGTAGGAATAGTTGACGTATATGGTTGATCACGTACATAGCCGTGATCTCCTGTTGGTCTTTCTCCAGCTGGTTAGCTGTAGAATAGTTGTCATTGAACCGTACTTCTTTAGGAGCCGAGTAAGGGCTGAAGTCGTGCTCGTCGTTGGTAGTAACATGCATACCGTGTGGGCTGACGCGGATGGTGGTGCGTAACTTACCCATGGTAGGACAACCAAGTAGTACCGGGACATATAAGTCATCAGACACCACGATGAACTCGTCGTAGATCGTAATACGGTTGGTAGAGACCTTGAGCATGACGATACCGTCGACGTTCAAAGCACCACCGTCAGCCACTATAATGTGATGGGCAGAGTTGGTGTAGATTTCTGCAGTGGGGGCCAGTCGTTGAAGTGCTTGTCTTGAGATGAGGGAAACCTCTGCTCCCGTGTCGAACAGTGCTGGTATGACGTTGTCTTCAACAGGCCTCTGCGTGCGAGACGAGTCTCGGTGCGGCTCGGCGCTCGCTCGCCGAGCGCGCGAGCGACGAGCGAGCACGGTCTCCTATATTTCTCTCGAGACGAGCGACGAGACTCGCCGAGACTCGCTCGGAGAATTCCTCTCCAAGAAATTCTCATAAAGAGCGCTTTTCTGGTCTCGTAATTGGTTATCAACTATTTCCGAATAAGCTCTCATTATTGAGGATAGTCCTCTCTTTGCTGATACAATCTCAGCACGAGGGATCATCTCTCAGAGATGGGAAACTTCGAATTGAAAAGGTTTCGACGGAGGCAGTGCCTCCGAGGCACTAGGACTCCGAATTTCAGAGGAACGATCTTATTGATTTGGTACTAGTTCTGGTCTAACACAAGTCGAACCCGCCCGATGGATAAATTAGTTGCGGAGAGACTGCTCACCATGCAAAGCCTTTGAACTGTAGATGCAGAGATGCAGAGCCCAGCACTGTGATCTGATGATCAGATTTTGATCACCTCCTCATAGAGCTCTTTTCGAAAGCATTGGTGGTTTGAATTATCAACAGTGATTCAAGAGTATTTGGCTTCAGCTCTGTTCTACGCATACCAAGCTGATCTCGTGCACGACTAAAATGCTCTCGCACGAGCTAGTAGTGAGAGTAAAGATTGCGCACAGATAGCTGCTTCTGAAACAGCGGAAATGTACTCTTAGCTTTCTCC